ACAGTGATCACAGTGGTATAAAAATTGCATCGAACGGAGGCCGGGAAGGGCCTCATCGGAGGCAAAAATCGAGGAGGGGCCGCTGGGTTTCGGCTGGGTTTTTCAGCCGTCTGGCCGGTGGTTTGGCTCCGATTTGGCCATAGGCGGACTCAACATCGAAAAACGAGCAAGAGGATGAAAATTTACCTCGATCGGCGGTCGAAAACTTCCCCGCTGCGGCGACGGGTAGCGGCGGCCGGCTCCTCCGGCGTCTGGTTCTTCTTCTCCTGCGAGGCACTGGCGGCTAGGGTTTTTGTGGTCAGGTGTGAGTGGGGTTATTTATACCCTTTGCCTTTTAATCTCAACCGTCTATCAAGATTAAATCTGTACCGTTCGATTGCGATTTAATTGGAATTAAATCTGGGCCGTCCATCGCGATGCAATCTGGGCCGTCCGTGCGCACGTTTGATCTGGGTCGTTCGTGCATGCGGGAACGGATCTGGGCCGTCCGATCGCGCGCACGCGGATCGCCTACGTGGCCCGTCCCCTAGTCAGCGTTTCCTTGCCACGCGGCGCGTCCTGGTTGGCTGGGGCTGCTGACCGGGCCGCTGACGTGGCTGCTGACGTGGTACAACTTTTCTAAATTACATTTTGACCCCCGGTTTTCGATTTTCTTTTCAAAAACACTCCTAAAATCCAAATTTTCATCCCTTTTTCCCAAAATCAATTTCAATTAAATCCAAATAATATTTTTACCCAATTTTATCATTATTATTATTTTTATTTTTATTAAATTGAATCAAATTAAATTAAATTAAATTAAAATTAAATAAAATTCAAATAATTACAAAATAAAATAAATAAATAAATAAATAAATAATACACTTGGGGTGTTATATAATATATATTATTTTAATTAACAAAATATGTATGCTATATATTTATAACATTATGTATAAATAATGTGTTTATATATAATTTGAGCCAGATTAGTCGCATTTAAAAGAAACCTAATCATGCTGAAAACAAAATTAAGCAATTGACATCGATATGGGTTAGACACCATCTTAAATGTTGCGAAACCTATCCCAATCCCAACTCGTTATAATTTCTACATCGCATGCATCTTTAGATCAACAAATAAGAAGTGAATTTCATTTATAAAAATAATAAATCCAAATTATTTGAGGAATCAATTCAATTCTAATTGAAATAAGGTTAAGATAGAGAAAAACTCTTATTTTTTCTACTGCAAGTTCATATTAATTGGTTCAAAACCTAGAGCTAGAGTTGAATATGGAGAGGAATAAACCAGCCATTTATATAAGGATGTTGGTTTAAGAAAATTGTAATTTAATTTTTCATTAAAAGAACCATGTTGCCAAGAATGACTCTACTAGTCAATACAAATTTAACTTATAATAATTTATACGGTACGCCTTATCATAATTAATTTGTATAATAAAAATTTAAAATCTTTTAACTAATCATTATGAATGACTGGATTTACTTTGTTAGTGGCCTAAACTTTATAAACAAAGTAGGTAAACTAGTTAAACTTCAAGGCCTTCATAATTAGTTAAAATTTAAGGCATATTATTCCCTTACTAGTTCACTTAAATTAAACAATTTAAATAAGAAAATTCTTATCTAATTATGTAACTTCTTCTCTCTCTCTCTCTCTCTCAACAAAAGGAGATGGTGGCATATGAAAAAGTAAAAAAAATAGAAATAAATTTATATGTGAGAATTTGGAGATATGATTAAAATAATATTTAAGGAAGACACATGATTGATTATTTACAAGTAACCAACAGGGACTATAGAACAAAATTTCAGTTATTGTTATCCTTATTATTTTAAATTAGATGTTATATGTACTTAACAAAATAATTTAAAATATTTTTATTATAAAATTAATGATACAAAGTTTAATTCTTATCTGCACCTATCTATAATAATAATAACAATAATAGACATTATACATTTTTTTTTAAATTGAATGTATTTTATTTTTTAAAATAATTAAAAATATTTAAATAAATAAAAATTAGAAAACAAGATTAAAAAAAATATTGAAAATGGGTATGCATTCGGTATCTTTTTAGCTTAAAATTTGAGATCCTGAAAATTGAATTACAACTCAATATTGATCAACCTTTTGAAATGAACATTAAATGCATTTACTACTTTTTAATATGTATTATATAAAAATTTAATTAATACAACAAATAGAGTATGTATTAATATAATTAAGTATTTTATAATTTCCTTAGAATTAAATATTTAGAATTAATTTTTTTTTTTAAAAATTAAAATTCTATTTTCATTCTCTTTTGGTTCCAAAAAAGTTTTAAATTTTGGGTGCTTAAATTCACTATTATTTGTAAGTTTTAATTATTATACATGTGGAATTTAATTAAAACTATAAATTTAATAAATAATAAACCTACTTATAGTTTTATAATTAAATAAAAATTTAAAATTATTAATTTAAATTAAAAATAAAATTATTTTAACATTTAAATAATTTTCATTTGTTTTATTACCTTATCATTTTATTATATATAATTAAAATTGAGCCAAATTCAATCCTAATAAAATAGGCAAGTTGAGCGACGTCGTTTCGCCTCGCTTCCACACTTCAGGTTTTGAGGTTGGCGTAAATAAAATCCACCTTAAAATTGCGACCAAAATCTCCTTACGTAGTCAGGGTAATCTCCGAAATTACCTTAAAACCAGGGGCATTTTTGTAATCTCATCTCTATATATGTAATTTCCAGTCTCTGAAAATGGCGAGAGGAGCAGAAGAGTTTCCGTTATCCATTATCTTTCTGTCTTTGAGGAAACACAGAAAAAAGAAAAGCAAAAAACTCTCTAGAAATTCTCAAGAAAAGAAAGCTAGGGTTTTTGCCAATCTCTCCCCGTGTTTCTACCTTTGTTCAAATTTGGGAAGCCATGGTTTCTGATTCGATCGCAAACGTTTCCTCCACTCCTTCGGCTCCTAATTCCAGGGATTTTGGCAAGAAAAAGAGGGTAAGATTTGCAAATTCTTGTTTCTCCTATTCTGACCTGTGTGATGTCCATGCGTGTGTCTGTCGCTTGCTTTTTTTTTTTTTCTGTATTTTCCTTTTGTTTAATTTCTTGTTTGTTTCTTGTTTTTCTGGGGTGCGCGGGTTCAGGCCAACAGGTCTGCCAAACTCAAGCAGTGCAAGCTTGATGCTCGTCGCGAGCAATGGCTTGCTC